TGTTTAGTGAGTAAGCACTTAAAATATTGTTGTGCATTAGACATTTGGATTAATATTACGGAACATAATTTGTATAAGATATATACAAAAAAAGAACCAGGTTGGAGGTAGTAACCCATATTAAGGCTGGAAGCGAAAGCAGTCTTTCATAATTCTGAAAACATGTAATTGCGCAACGGCGGTCGCAATATTCTGGGGTAAAACAAAGGGAGTATGCCTGTTTGTCGAGGGAGTGAGTGTAAATAGGAAACGGTTTTGTCCCTCCCGAAAACCGCTGAAACCGCGCTATTTTCTTCTATGGTTCGCCCTTTATTATTGCGCCTAATCTAAAAATCCGCTTAAAATATACGTCCGCATATGAGTAATCCCTTCGCTGCGGGTTAATAACAGCCCGCGGGATTAACACCCTCTCTTGTTGAAATGTTAGAAGCACAAAAAAAACAGCAACTGCAAATAAGTGCGAATGAGAACAAAAAGGGATGAAGTATAATAATAATAAAAACAATAATAACAGACTGAAGGGTGTAATTTTTGTGGTATGGCAACAAGTTGATTGGATCGAATATCATGACAGGGTTTGTTGCCTAGCTCAGATATCGTGCAAATAATTTAGGAAACCACAAGACTTTAATTAGCATAGAACAACAAAGGTCTGTGAAACTGAAATACGAAAAGCTCGCTTAGTACTAACTCATTGCTCTTTAATATCGCATTGTTCTCATGTACGCGTTTAATATAGAATTCAGAAAGTTTTGTTTGGCCATTTTATTTTAATGACGTTTTCTATTTAATTAAAATATAATCCTGAACCGTTTTCATAACAAACTTTCTCCGAGGAATTTGTAAAATGATAATATGGACAATTTATGTTTTTTTTTTCTTAGGAGTAGAAAAGGTTACTACATAAAATTCGATGTTGTCACGTATACCCAAGGTGTCAACCCCTAATGTAGCAGCATGAAAGGTATAAGCATCAAGATTATGATTGATGAGGTTGTTTGACCTTAGTCCTGTTTGACCAAATTATTCTGAAAATAAAATATAAGATAAATCTTATACTTACACTCTGGATAATAACTGTATATTATATAACATTATTTTGATAATTTTAATCGTTAAAACCGTTAGATTTGATCAGTCCGTATTCAGTATTAAAATTCTCAAATATTCTAAAAACTTAGTATCCAAATTTATATTTTTTTTTATACATAAATGCGATCATTTTATAGTTTCAAGTTTCTTTTTATGCAGTTTATTTCATTGTTCTTCGATTAGTCCGGTTTGAAACATTTACTGAATTGATAATGTTAGCATTTGGTGCATTGTTTATTTATAAACACAAACACTTTAATTAAAACAGAATAACGCGTTGCACTTGTTTGCACTATACAAATATAAGCTAAGCAATGTAACTACAAATCGTATTTATGTTTAATTTGTCCGTAAACAAATCGATAGATAAATGCACTTTTGTATATGAACCATTATTGAGTAAATGGAAATAATATGATTCTATGTGTATTCGTCTGGTAAACAAATAAATAATATTATTAGTAAGTAATCTTAATTTAATTTATAAATATAACATGTTCATATACAACGCAGTCTTTTTGCTCATAAAGATATAATTAATTAAATAATTTTGTTGATAGATAAAATATTTAATTCTTGATTTATTTCCAAAAACATTTCGTAGTTAAAATAATAATACTCTTTATTGCAAAAGTCACGTAAAAAAACATTTTCTTCTAAAACAAAAAAAAAATACTACTATTTTACTGATTTCACATTTTTATTGCTCCTAATTTGGCTATTTAGAATTTTGCAGTTTTAGTATTAAATTACATTTTTTTGTGCGTTGAAAACATAATGTGAAGTAACTTGTGTATATTTGCTAACTTTTGGCTGCATACCAAATGCAGTATAATGGGCTTAATGGAACAAATCAACAACTTCTAAATGGAAATATAAAACAAAAGAAAGTTACAAATTCATTTCTAACTTAATTTCAGTTTGAAAAAAAATGTACAGTATTTTAATGTAAGTTAAGTTTATAGTGTGTATTATAACAGTAATTTAAGATTTATAAAAAAAGTAATTTGGAACAATCTATATAGAATATCAGAATAAACAATAGTATTTAATGTTTACAATAAAACTTCTAAGAAATTGAAATTAGCAGAAAATCTATTTAAATTGAAAATTATACCAGAACAAAATATTTATTTAAATATTTTACAAAAAGTTAACTAAAAAATGTAAAGTTCAAATAAAAATAAAATCCATTTTGTATGAAAAAAATATGACTATAAAAAAACAAAGAATAATCTATTATTATATAAGGATAACAAATCTTTAACATTAAATATAAAAATAGAACAAATACGAGATGAGAATGTGATGGAAATAAATATAGTTTAATTTATTGTAATGCCCGTTGTAAGTGCGTTCTTTCCGAGGCGTTATCTATAAAAGTTTCATGGTCGGACCCTAAAAGCCGCCCTCAGAGCAGCCACCAATGCACCTCCGTCCACATCTTACCATCAGTTTAAAGCAAGAAAAATAACCAGACCATTAATTCTCATCTGTCGGCCGGAGATCTCTCCACGTTTTAACCCCCAACGGAGACGACACAGCCCAACATCAACAAACGCACCTTCGCGTCCTAAAAACCTCTGGTTTCCTCGCAAAACAAAAAAAAAAAAGAAAGAGAGTAAACATAGTTATATTTAAGTCACGTATTTAATTAAATCGGATCGTCACTAAACGAGGAATCGGACCAACTCCGATTTGTTCATCAGCGTTTGTTAATTAACGTTATTTACTGTCGGACATTTAAAATTCGTCAGGGGTTGCAGTGCATCTAATCCCCATCGGTATATGCGTTACCCGTTTGACGCGTATACGGGGCAATGCGTAAATAAACGGGAACAAATGAATGTACCCTCTACTTCTTTGCGTCCTCCCCCAGGACTCTTGCTTCGGTCGCTCGCACCATCACTCCTACATGTATATATATATATATACACATGCACACACATCGAAATAAATAAGAAACAGGATCAATGGGTTACGTTTTATTACATTGATCTAGGGGCGTTGTTTACTAGGGGGTGGAAAACAAGTGTTCGATGTTACGGAATCCGGCTGTCGGGAGATAAATTCGATGAGCTCCAATTTCGACTGACTTATATAACAACGCGCCATACATAAAACGCGATCCCATTAGGTATTTCCTTACGAGAAGGGCCCACTCGCAAGTCGAATTAAATATTTCCCTAGCAGAGACCCAATGATTCACTGCTCTTATATATCACTTTTAATTATAGTATAGTCTACATCCAATCTACGTGTACCACTTTAAAATCATCAGTAACAAATTTAATACAAAATGAATCAACATTTATATTTCAAACATATCATAAACTGCAGTTATAGATTCACTTTTTTTTTTTGTAAATTTATGTTATTTTTTGATCCTATATTGTTAAAACTTGTGAAACAACTGTTTTAGTCTAATAGTTGCAATCTATCTATGAAAGTCTTACAAAGACTTTGATAACATCAAAGTAGGTTGACATATACTTACCTACTTTGTCGACTTTGTTATGCGCATTGGTGGTTTTATCATTATATTTATGATGATAATTATTATTAATTTCCACATTTAAACTATTGGTAAATATTCTTAAAAGTAATTAAAATTTACTGTTAGTGCATATTTGTGCTTAGTTATCTAAGTTTGATATTGTTATAAACATTTTAGTCTTATTGGAGAATATTTCGTTATAATGTTGTAACAAACTTCTTTGTATGTATAATTGAATGGAGAAAAGTGAGCATAAAATGGTAATAAAATGTTATGTAAATAGAGAAACTGTGTTATTCGAAAATCGCGTAAATAGTAGAGTGTCTGGATATTTGAATGGCCTTCAGGAAACAAACGCGTTATAACGGGTTTCCTCAAATAAAGTGTTTTCGGGGAAGGCTGACGTCGACGTCGCCGGCGTCGTCGGCGTCCTGTGTGAAATGTGTGCGCTATCCCACTTCTGAAACAATGGCGGCTGATTTACGTCGTTCACTATGGTCTTTGTGTGAGCGTCCGTGCTTTTTGAAATTGTACCCCATTTGTAAAGCTAAAAGTACCAAACGAAAAAACGGCAACCGTCGACGAGGGGAGAAAAGGACGAACGTGAAGGGGTCGTCGTATGGGGACCGAAAACGGCAACCTTTGGGGGTGGTTATGGAAAAAAGAGGTGGCGGTGGTGGAGGCCAACACATGCGGGGCCCCGTCGAGTTTTTGCGTTTCCTCTTTGATCCCTTGTCGTCGCTGTGCGCAATTGTTTCACCTTTGTGAAATCACGTTTGAACGGGAATGTTCAGTTAGGCTATGAAATTTATATCGTTCCGAAACTGAAATTCCCCGTCATTATAATAATATTTTCACTGGGATGGGCTAAATTATTCATCGGCTGCAAACGAAACGGTTTTGATTTCCTACCGAACACAGCTTTCGGGTTCCACAATTCCAATTTTAATACGTTCAGAATCAAACTAATCCACTAAGAAAACACTACGAAACTAATAAAGCCAAACAAGTAGAACCCTTTTCCGGCGATTGGCGCGAGTCATATTCTGTGCATGAAAACGAAATTAGTTTCGCCACCGTTAAAACTTTTGCAGTACAGCAATATATTACAATTGCACGAACTTTCAGAATTTAATTCCTTCTATGAAGAAGGAGAATTTTAAGTTTATTTTTGAAAGGTTTCAAGTTAATCTACCAAAATGAACCTGGATTAATTGATAATTGCTATGGCTAACATTATCGAGTTTAGAATATTAAATGAGGTAATGGTCACAAATAGCTATTTTCTAATATTAAGTAAATGTAGTGGGAATGGAGCGCAAACATTTGGGTAGAAGCGGAGCGAAGAGCGATTGAATACTCGCTGCGCGTACTAATTAAAAGTAAAATTAATTAAAATGTTTGGTTCCAGATGATGGCGGAATCGAACGGATGTGAGCGACAAGTGTTCATTGGAAACCCGCCCTGTTTACACCTAGACATCTGTATCTGAGTGAACTACAGGAGATGTAATGCGTGGATCGTTGGAGATGGGACCGTTTAGTAGGCTGCTCGTCCTCGCTGCCCTTTTCATCGGATGCAATGCATTTACGAAGAATGCGAAAATAAGTACACGGATCGTGCAGACACGTTACGGCCGGTTGCAAGGATTAGTTCTACCGATGGACCAGCATAGATACCTGAAACCAATCGAAGTGTTTCTCGGTGTTCCATACGCTACGCCGCCAGTGTTATCAAATAGGTTCAGCCCTACAAGAGCACCGAGTCCCTGGGATGGAGTTCGCGTTTCTGATAAACTAGGACCGGTATGCCCTCAGAAGCTACCCGACATCTCCAATGAAACCGCCGCTTTGGAACGAATGCCCAAAGGGCGACTCGAGTATCTTAAGAGGCTTCTACCCTACCTGAAGAACCAAAGCGAAGACTGCCTCTATCTCAATATTTACGCCCCCTCTCAAGGTAAATACGTTTCCTTTCAATTTTCTTTAGAATAATCACTATAAGACGAAGTAGCGTCCTATTGAATTTGGTATTAATTAATTACCTTGTATTTAATATGGATGGTGTGCCGTTGTATTTATGAGCTCGATCAATTTCTCAACTGCACGACTTAATTGATATGCAAAATTGCAAGCTCACATCCGAGGGCCAACGGAACATTTTTCACCCACGTGAAGTATCGCGCAGACAATTTAGATTAATGGTTCCAGGAAACCACTCTCAAAATTCCATATTAAATTCTAATTTACTTGCAAAAAAATCTATCTCCTGCATTGAAGACCTTCGTGCAAAAACTATCATCTGCGAATTCAAATTTCTTTCACATCACATCAATAATCTACAGCGCTTTTTAATAGTTCATTATTTCAATCCATCGATATCAATTACATGCCTCGTCGAATTACATTATATTCAACGTGTAGTTTCGAAAAGTACAATTCTGCTTTTATCCAATTATAAACTCATTCTCATTTTTTTTCTAACTTTTGTACCAAATCAAAGGAATAATTAAAAATTCTTTTAATTAATCTCAGTAAAAGAGGAGAACCGCAAAAGGCGTTCTTGTACGTCAGTTGAAGTGAAATCTACTTTCATTTTACCTTTTCTATTCCTGCGAGGCAACGAATAAGTTCATATCCTGAAAGTAGCATACATATAGTAATGCAGCAATCGTTTGATAAAGGTTTTAAAACTTCATATGTGTTTGCCCTTCTAAACGACAAAGTACATAACAAACTTCTGTGCTAACGGCTGGCTTTGTAGTTGAATTTTCTTTAGGTTGCATTTATTGGAGTGATTGTTTAAATGACTTTATCGAATTCTCTATTGTTATCATTATTACTATTTTCACCTATGAATCTACAAAACAAACTATTATTACTTTCTAGAAGATTTATATACAAAGTTTTTTCGAGTACAAAAAAATATAATCATATTTTATATCTCATCAGAATTGGTTAATTATTACATTTATTTAAGAATATTATAAATTTTTCGATGAAGTTTCGTGTTTCTATTAATATGATGATAGCTTTTTCCTTTTGATATATGTAAATTGTAGTGGTTAAAGAACTGAAATAAGGTAATAAATAAGAAAGGATTATATTTGTTATTTGAAAGAATCTTACAAATTTGATGACACGCAGAGATGTAAATCACGGTGACGGAATGCCCCAATCTTTCAATCGAATCTCTACAAAATAAGTTCTGGATAAGGAAGAGAGCGGAGGAAGAGGAAGAAAAAAAAAAGTATAGGAAGAAAGGTAAAAAGGGGGAAAAAAGGTTGGCTGAGAAAGAGGTATATTGAATCTGTCTGCGACATTCGAACTACTTACGTTTAGACACCTTATTTGCGCTTCTTCTGCCTGTACACACGATGAATTTTATTTCCTCCCCCCAACCCTGTTCCACCACTGTCGTCTCATTTCCGGTGACAGTGTTGTCTCCGTGCCTGACAAATTGAAGAAACAGGCAACATTTCTGTGTGTCAGCGAGTGGCGGTAATTTGCGTCGGGACTCCTGGGACCATCCCGATTCGTATCGATTGAGTTGTGTAATGCCCCTCTGGCCGCGAGCCAACTAAAATTCGAAACTCATTTAACTATTCGCATGTAACTAAACGTCACTAGAATATTTTATTATCTCCAGACTTAAAATGCTGTCCGATCGTTTCCGTTTTTATACCTATACAGTGTACATTCTTCTTTCGCTCTCTGCATTACCTTCTTCTTCTTCTTTTTGTCCATTCTTTTTCACGAGGTTTATTCGGAAACCTGTCTTTGGCGCCGGTCGTGGTGTGGACGTTATGTAAATTGGAATCGCTGATAAAGTTGGTGTATGGGTGTAGTAGGTCTGTTGGACTAGGTCGACCGTTTCTTGTGCGGATTCGATTTGGACCGTCGCATATGTCTAGGGCCTAGACTCTAGGCGTAAGCTAAGGGAACAAGCCTCAATCGAGACACAATCGACCGAATAAATCTCATTCCTGTTTACTTATTTTGCCCACCTTCCAATAAAAAATACCTAAAGTATGCACACGCGAAACTAGTTTACTACTATTTTTCCTATCCCAACCTCGATGCAACCAGTTTCATCATCGATTTTTTTTATTGTGTTTCCGAGAAAAAAACCGCCTGATTGAACATAAATATACCTTATCTCGGAGCATATAGATCCTAACCTATCAAAAACCCTTGATAATATTTATAAAGTATTGCTATGACAGAAACCGATAATATAAAAAACCACATACAGTCAAATAAACTTTCAGGATTGAATTCAATTCAGATATTAAAATTTTTCTATTTTATATTGAAATGATAATGTTAGTTATTTTATTTAATTTATTTATGTTTTTACACAATCTTTCCATTACCTTTAAATTATTTTTGTATTATTATGGATAATATAATTTTAATATAAAGCAATAATAATTCTCTCTTCGTAGTAGTTTGTAATAATATTTTTCCTTGATATTTTTTTTCTTCTTCTTTTTCATTTGTATATAATAATACGAAATACGATCAGGTATTAAAATCTCGTCGCGGATTAAATTTATCGGAAGAATGTATTTATGGTGTGGAAAGCATATTCCCACTTTATATTTACGCCGGAACGCCCGGATTGTGCTCAGAGAAATTGATTTTGGAAGAAGAAAAAAATGCGAGGATGGGAAAGGAGGAGAAAAAAAATTATATACGAGAAGTACGAAGAAGAATACGAGGAAGACGAAAATCGTATATATAAATATAATGGCCGGAGGGGTAGATTTGATTGGGTTAGAATAGTTTTCTTCAATAAGACCATTGGGGCCTAGACGGACGCAAACAAAGGACGGCAATAAATTATTTCAACAATATATATTCCCTTAAATGTTAATAATTATTAATTTATTGCCGCAGACGTTTCAATATGTTTTACAAATCGGTTGCGTATAAATCTCTAATATACATATTTTTTTCTATAAACAAACAGAAGATAAATGTGCATTGACAATATGCTTTTTTATATAATTATTTTGTGATTGACAATCAATTATTTATACTAAATCTTAATTTTAGTTAAAGTCTGAAATACTCGTTATAAATTAATAATTTAATTATGTAATTTAATTTATTCTAATGTTATTTAATGATTTAAATCAAATTAATCTGATTATAAAATTTCAGTGATGAATCTTTGAAAAATCTAAACTAAAAGCTATAAGATTTTTAGTAAAAAAAACTAAATTATTGATAATAATTTCAAATTTATATTCATATAATATTGTATGAATATAAATTGTGTAACGATTTTGTACGATGCAATAAACATTGACTTGTTAAAACTATAATTCTGCTGGATATACCGTGTTAAGTGTGTAACATGGTCAGGTTTATGTGGAAAATCTCAATGATGCATCATTGTCTAAGGGCGTTAGATAACCGACGTGTTACCGAATTTAAATCGGTGCATTTCCGCATTGCATCTGTTGCACAGCCATCTTCAAATATGAAAAGTCTAAGCCGTTATCCATACGAAGAAAGACATAGAATACCAACAGCAGAAAGCAAACGGGATTTATGATACATTCAATTGAGATAAGTGGCAGCGTTGTTTATGATTCTATGAAAAGGATTATATGCTAATTGGAATCAGGACAGTACGCACGTACAGAAAACATGGAATAACATCAAAAGCTCAGAAAGTGTTCTTAAGGCAGTCGAGTGTATTGTTTATTCGAAACGCGTGCGTTTCGTTCCATCGGGAATTAGCGAGAGTCAAGACTCCTTCCTATTTCTTTATACATAGAACGTTCCCTTTCTCTTGCTCTCTATCTCTTTCTCTATCTCCGGATCTGCAGATTTTATTCGGAGTATTACCTTAACGCGCATCTTCGTAAGCACACATTAAGTACATCTTCCGTTTGGAAAGCTTACGTACGCCCGGAGACCCGAAAGCGCCGCAGCTTACGGCTTATTTCTAGGAGAAACTTTACTTACACCGAATAGTTGAGCGACTGTTCCCTTCCTCGGTCGTGCTCATTCTCGACCTCATCCTTCTCATCCTTTACCGCAGCTACAGTTTTTTCTTTGATAGATTGCACTTCCTCCGGTGAATTATTGCTGACATTGTAGGAAGACGGCCGACACCTTGGAATTTGAATGACAATAGATTAAACACGCTGACACCTTTACATTTCATGAATTAATTATTCACAAATTTCTTTTTATACTACATTGCTGGTACTAGGAACGTAATCTAAGCAAATATTTTATTTGTCAATTATAAAACCTTTTATAATTATACCAATTAAGTCCCGTATACAAGCAACATTCCCATCTTATGTAAACTACATCAATTATAATCCTTCATTTTCAAGTTATCCACACTACGAAAGTCATAACGAAGAAACGTCTGTTTGACAAAAATGTGTGTCTCTTATTATGCAAAATGTGGATGCAGTATTTATTGATCACATATTGTCAAGGCCGGTTCCTAAACTGGTTCCTAAGGACAACAACAACCTTATTACGATCCTGAACATAGTAACTATTTATAATATAATTTTAATTATTGTCATTTATAAATTATTTGTATATTAGTACCAAATTGAATTTGACGAATTTAAAACATTATTACTATGATTGTTTTTAATGTTGGACTTATTTAAATACACTTAAACATTTTAATTTGACTCTGCAGAAAACGCGCTTATGGGACCAATTGAAATTAATTTTTAATGTTCTTTCTTTTGTTGACCTTTGCACCAAGCGGGAGCCCTCTTATTTACCTATGAAATTACCTTTAGGTAGAATGAATGGTAGCATTAAGGAAGGAGCGAACACACTTGACGGTGCTATATTTTTCAAAATATTGTATAATGAAGAAAGCGGTTTTTTTGAATATCGTCCATTTAATATTCATGAATGTAATTAAATTAGCACAGGGCAGTTTTATTACAGCGAGAGGGATATGACTACAAAGTCATGGCCTAGGGCATGCTTAGATGAGG